AAAAAAAAAAAAAAAAAAAAAAAAGAAATACTGTGAATTTATGTGTATAAAAACCTACCCGATATCTGATCATCTGCTGAGAGTTTAGAGATCAAGAAGGGCAGGTTTCTGACAGGAACCTGGGAAGCGGGGCAGGGAGCCACCTTGCAAGCCCTGACAGAGAAGAAGCACTTAGCTTCCTGGAATAGCCTCTGGGTCAGGGTGAGGCATCCTGACGTTGAAAGACATTTATGCAAAATATTGATCATATGTGCCCACGCAAGATTACATGAGGGTCTGGGGGAGCAGTGCTTTGGGGAGAACTACTCAGCACACTCTGGGAGGTGGAAAGAGGAAATAGATCGTGCTCACACAACGGATGAGTGCCTGCTGTGTGTGAGGGTTTTTTCACACCTCCTCTGGCCCTGAGAACAGTCCTGCCAGGGAGGGGTGGTGTTTTCCCTTCCCTAGGAGAACAAAGTAGCTTCCAGCTATGCACCTGGCTAACAGGCCGGAGCGGTGAGGCAGAGGAGAAGCCCAGGCAGACCACAGTGCTGGCCTAAGTCCCTGGGCCAGTGCCCAGGCCTGAGCCGGAAGGTCTGGTATCAGGGAGCACTCTGCACCATTCTAGAACTCGGAAGCCTTCCCAGACGGGACTGCAGGTTCCCCATACAGCTGGCCTCTCCCGGGGGCCATCCTGGTCCTGGCTGCTGCAGTCCCCACCCCACCCTGTATTGCCACACTCATCCCTTTCCAGGCAGTGTGTGTCTCCCCAGCTGCACCCAATTCCTTACTGGAAGAAATAAGGAAATTGCAGGAGGAGGCTTCCCGTGTCCTAAATTATGGCCAACATTGGCATTTCCTATGCACAGTCTTTAGTAAGAGATGAGTCATGCTGTACTGTAGTGATTATAGTGTGATTTAAAGCCTCCTTTCACTAGCACACCTGCCAGCAGTATTCCCCACAACACTAACTTTTCGAAGTATGTAGTATACTAAAATCTTTAAAGCAAAACAGAGAATACAGGCATGCATGGTGGCATAAGCCTGTAATCCCAGCACTCGAGGCTGAGGCAGGATTGTCACGAGTTCGTGGCCAGCCTGAACTCTGTGGGGAGACCCTGTCTTAAAAAGCAAAAAAACAAAGTCATGTTATCAGATGGGAGGGGGCCTTGGGGAGTTGTTTCCAGGTTCTTGGTGTCTCGAGCCAATACTGAATTGAGCAAGACACTTAAAAACAATAAGCGTACAATTTATTAGGACTGACTTGAAAGAGTAAGCAAAAGTAAGCGTGCAGGTCCACTCCACACGGTGGTTTGGCTGGGGAGGAGAGCTCATGGCCCCATAGGGTTGGTGCTGAGACTAAAAGTCCAGGTTATGGGAGGGTCTGGAGCTGGGGACCAACAGGAGACCTGGCCCCGCAGGGCACATGACAGCTACCTGGACATCTGCGGGTTTTGACCATGTGAGGATTTAGAGGAAGTGTCCAAAGTCCCCTTGGGTGGGGGACTGCAGTGCCAGTGAGGCTGGACCAGGCGAGAGCCTTGTGCATGCCTGGGTGGACCTTTGTTAGTGTCCTGATATTCTGGCATAGCCCTGCTCGCTCTGGTTTCTCAATTCTTGGCCCAGGGTTGTTTTGTACTTGTCCTAGCTCAGCCAGCCTAGGCAACTTGCACTTGAGAAGGGCTGGTGTGCGGCTCAGTGGTTGAGCACTTGGCACACCCAAGGCCCTGGGATCAAAACCTAGGACTGAAAACATTCACTGAGAGGCAAGGTTAAAATTATGCATGACCTGCCCTGGGGACAGCCTCTGGGACACCCAGGCTGTGCCCTTTTGTAAGAGCCTGACTGAACCAGAGCGACTCCATGTTGACCAGCAAACGACCTAGAGACTGTCACTCCCCCCATCCCTTATAGGATAACTAATGATTAATTGTGAATTGTTAGGTAACTGCTTTGAAGTAGCTGGGAAACTAAATGGAAACTGTAGTGAACACAGAGACCCAACACAAATCACGCCACTCCTTACTTGCCTGTAGTTGAATGTTCTGAACATTATAATCTAAGTTGTAAATGGAATAATGGATAATCGATCTGCTGATCATTAGTACGTGACGGTCAAGTATATGCTTGATGACCACTAGCTCAGATCAACTGATTCTTTGCCTTTGTCCTCTTCCTGTAAGTTTTAAGTGTAAATCCCCCCCCCTTAGCCCTATATAAAATGGCCTCTGTTTCTGAGCTAGTCGCCTCTCTGAGCTACTTGGCTTGGGGAGTGCCATCTGGCCAGACTAAGAAAGGTCTGTTTGCCAACTTGCCTGGTGTGTTCCTTCCTGGGTGACTCTCGCTGTCCGACAAGCTCCTGGAGCCTCGCTGAGCTTCTGAGCCCAGCATCGTGGAAGCCTCTTGGCTGTTCACGCTCCAGGAGTAAAAGTGAGACTTAAGTCTTACATCTTGGAGGCCCCAACGAGATCCCCAAGTGGGAACTATAAATCTGGCCGAGATTCTCTGTTGCAGGATCCAGCAGGAGATTCTCAGACATAGACCTGAAAAACCTCCGGAGGTAAGTTTTGAATCGGTTGCAACCAGGTGATGTCAGGATAGAGGTGGATGACGAGCCGGGAAGCCTCACCTGACCCCGGCCCTGACGAGGATTCCGGGTAGAATCTAAGTTCTTTTTCTTTTGTGTGGCGCCTGTGTGTCTTGTCTGTGTCCTGTCTGTTGAGTGTTAACTTT